TCCAGCGGGTTCAGCACGTGCAGGCCACCGACTCGGCCTTTGCAGCCATCCGGCACGACGGCTCCATCATTACCTGGGGCGACGCCCAGGCCGGCGGCAACTGCGAGGCCGTAAAAGACCGGCTAAAAGACGTCCAGGACATCCAGTCCACCATGGACGCGTTTGCAGCCATTCGCAAGGACGGATCCGTGGCAACTTGGGGAAACCCAGCTCGCGGAGGCAATAGCGCGGCCGTCCACGACCAGCTCAAACAGGTGCGAGCCATCCAAGCCTCCGAGACAGCCTTCGCGGCCATCCTCGTCGACGGATCCGTGGTGACGTGGGGCTGCCCCGGCACGGGTGGCGACAGCCGCACAGTCCAAGACAAGCTGAAAGGAGTGAAGCAGTTGCAGGCCACCGATCGCGCCTTCGCCGCAGTTCTGGAAGACGGCTCTATCATCACCTGGGGAATTCTGCCAGGCGGTGGCCACAAAGGGCCCAACGGAGTTCAACACCTCCAAGCCTCCCAAGAAGCGTTTGCGGCCATCCTCGAGAACGGCTCCTTCGTGACCTGGGGCAGTTCAGCACATGGTGGCGACAGCAGCAGCCCCAACTACTGACCCGACTCAGGCGAAGACACACCAGAAAAGCAGCTCTTGGCTTCAGCATCCACGATACAGCATGTTTCAACCTAGAACATCCCTCCATGCCTTCAGCCTTTCCTTGGTGTTTTCGCACAAGCATCCGAAACCCAGGCGAGCAGGAAGGAGAACTACAACCGGCGTGACGGCGTCTCCGACCACTACGCACCCTGGAATCCAGAAAAGCTAAAGCATGTCCTGCTCCGACAACAAAACAAATCCGAAGCAATCAAATTACAGCATGTCCAGGTCCTACAACGCCTGCACCAACGCGACGGCCGAGCCCTGGGTGAGAAACAGCTTCAGTGCCTTTGGAGTCGAAACGCTGTCAGCGAAGCAAAGACAGTAGCAGAACAAAGAGCCGAAGCAAGCAACAACAAGACAAGAAGCAAGCAAGGAAGAAAAGGAGCCAAAGGTCGAGTGGTCAGGGCCATTCGCACGACTGAAGCCAAGCCTCTTAAGCCCTGAGCGTCAGGCGACAAAGCCAGCCTTTGAACAAGGACAAGGCCGCAATGGCAAAGTGCCGAGAAGCCGCAGTCGGCACGGAACACATGCCACCAAGCCGATCTTGTCATGGTGCGTGGACTTAAGCTCGTCTCGCACGCCCGCCACGCAAAAGGAACGAACCAGCCGCATCGCTCGCAAAGAAGCCCACAGCCAGATTCTGAAAAAGCAACAGCCCCGTTTGTCCAAGGAGAAGAAGCACCCACACCCAAAGGCAGCAGTGTCCGGCTCCAGCTGATGCAGGAATAGTACGATCGAGGACTCGAGCCGGCGTCAAGCCTTCTCGTGCTACAGGACCAGCATGGCAGCTTCCTCGGGAAAAGTCGGCTTGCAAAAGCTTGCATACCCGGATCGACCGCTTGCTGCCGAGGCCGTCGAATCAAAGAAACGCAACACGGCAGCGCCCAGCCCCGAGAAACAGCAGTAGACTTCAGCTCGCCGGCGTCTGCTGCGATTCCGACATCTGTGTTGACAGGACCAGCAAGACGGTCAAGCTCTTCTTGGGACTCGGTGGTGAATATGTCGAGTTCCAGGCCGGGCGCAAGCAGCATCCGCTCTGACAAGGCCCTCGTTGAGTGCGATTCAAGTGGACCGAGACACCGCGGTGTACGATACCATACCCGCGTTTGCGGAAAAGCATTGGAGCCTGAGCCCCGGGAGCCTAAAAAACCAGAAAGGACGCTCTTCTTGTACGAAACCAGGACGATTGCGAGAATACCTGGAACTGGCAGTCACGGACCGACGCACCGGCAAGGTCTTAAGAGGCGGCCATCTGCTTTGGCCGCCCTGCCATGCTTGCAGGGCCATGCGTCGCATCGTTATCCCAAACAGAACCCGTGGTAGGAGACCTGGCAAGGACCCATCCCGAGATCCAAGTCCTGCTCCTGAAGGACAACTCCGGCAGCGATCCTGAGCGCAAACCTCGGTTCCGATGCACGGCTTGCCCCGAGGCGTACTCCAACTACTCGCGGTTTCACTGTCCAGGTGGTTCTCTACGGAAGAGTCGGAAGAGTCATCCTCCGAAACAGAGCCCTGCTCTCAGAGAAAGCAGTGTCATGCGATCCGATCGGAACAAGCCAGACACGACCTAGACAAGGACAGAGCCGTCCGCACGCCGCTCAGTGTGTTCGCATCAGCCAGCCCGGGCAAACGTCTTGCATAATCCGGTTCTCGCAGGTCAAAAGGCGACGATCTCACGCAGCCACGAACGACGTGGGAGAGTAAACAACTGTCCCATCGCGGATTTCGCTTCAGCAGCGATCCCATACAATGCTGCCACAAAAAAAAAAGGAGCTTAACTTCGCTGGGAATCTAAACCCTTTCAGCCGACTGCGAGATCCGGGTTCAAGTACGAATGAACATCACAGTAGTCCGCGGTTAGACCTGCCTCGTCCACGGAAAGTCGAATCTCAACATGCTGAAGGCAGAGCTAGGCGGCGAAGCCTTGGAGCACTCACAGAAGTTCCATGCACTGAACAACCCCGGGCCTCGCCTTTATAGCAAGGCTACTACAACACGCCTACAGTTCCGCCAGGTCACGGGAGCGAGCACGCAACAGCTGCACAACAAACTAGGCAGATCCGCCTTCAAACCCAGCAGCGTTTCGGCTCCAGCAGCTTTCAGCCAAAGAGCCCGGCACGCATCCTTGATTCGTCACGGCACTGGCATGGCACGACCGCGCTTCGCCGCAAAGGCAACGGACATGTGTGCCATTCTCTGCACGTGCGTGTGTGTGTTGTCCTGCATTCCTCAAGGAATCATCTAGCATCGGCTTGTTTCGGCAGGAGCTTCGACTGCTGGCGCTGCTCGGCAAGTACTTGGCGCTGCCTGCACGCAGCCTCCAGGAGGCTAGGACGAACCGCAGCAACTTGACCTCAGCCGCGCATCATGCCACTGCCGCCAGGTCAAACTGGTGTGTACCGGAGAAGACGACAAGCTGACTGCCGAAGAAAGGCAGCTGTATCGATGTCATCCGCTACGACAGCAGGCCTTTGAACGACAAGCAAGCACCCCGATCAGACATGCGTCTGCGCCGCAGGCGGTCCAACTGGCGGACCGGATCACTCGGACGATCTGGGGGACGCTATCCCAACACATGCAGCGGTGGTGGCGACCAGCGCAGGTCCTGGACATGATCCAAAACGTGCTCCAGGCCGGCTGCAAATCTAGCGGCGCTGCGGAGATTACTGCAGACGACACCGTGACAACCCAGAGGTGCACCTCGACTTCGTCGCGAAGGAACAGCTGACGCAATCCCTGGGCTGCCTTCGTGCAAAGCGGCAGACTCAGCAGATGTGAACCGACCTCGTGGCGCGCACAGGACAAAAAGGCCACAGAACACGACACGCACTTTGGCATTCGTGCAACAGCATGCAGCAAGAGAGACAGTCGCAAGAGATGAACAGGTCTTTGCGCAAGCACATTCCTGCGACGCCGCAGCAGCCATTCGATGCAGCAAGGGGTTATGTGTAGGTACACATGCATGGTAAGCCTTGCGTGGCAGCATGCAGTATGCCGGGCATAAGACAGAAAGCGCGGACATGCCTGCAAAGCACCGAACCCTGAAACTCCGGAAATTCGCGGCTGCCACTGAGACGCCCGGACCTTAAACGCACTTTCGGAATCCAAACCCGCTCCACACGACAAGCAAGCAACAAAGTCGCATCCTGCCATCTCTTGGAGCCCGGACCTCGGCTACTCGCACGGACCCGAAGACGCGGGGCCGCCAACCAACGGGTCCGACTCGCCGCAGCCTCAGGAAGCATCACAATGATGTCCCCACCAGCACCCGTCGGCCAAGGTTCGCTACACCCGGCAAGCGCAGCGAGCCAGTGCCGCCGGGCCGCGCCGAAGCGGAGGCCGCCGCCTTGACGTATGTAGAAAGAGGAATCAGAACGAAGTAGCACCCCATACCAGGTTCAGCAGCCACATAGCGGAGCGTCATCGTGCATCATCACAGCATCCACACCCGGCAAGTCTAGGTGCATCGCGCATGTCCAGCGGGGACCGTGACGTGGGACATCACGGTAGCATCGTCTCCCAGGAGACGGGGCTGGTCGTCCTGGAGCACCTTGATGTGTTCCAAAGATCGGGAGAGCCGCGGAAAGCGCAAGAGACACGGAATTCCACCATCCCTTCCTGCCCCGAAGCAGATATTCTCTACAACGCAAAGCGGACGCACTTGACAGTTCCGCGCGAAACAGTAGCGGAGGAGAAGAGAAGGCAAGGACAGAACTGCAGGAAAGAGTTCTGGTACCACAGACAGCGAGAAAAATAGGAAATGCAGAAGTAAAACGGGAAAAGTATAAAGGATTCAAGAACGAATAGTACATACGTTGACACTGTCCACTCACGCTACAAAAAGCTGAACCTCAACCCGTCGTGACTCCTTCAAGCTGCTGTAAGACGTTGTTATACCAGACAGGCTCTGACACAGTTGAGGAATCCAGGCGTCTAGTAGTGCTGGTATGCACCTCTCTCTGCACTCACATTCAGGGCGAAGATGCCCTCTCTGCAGTTTGAAAGCTAGAGGAACCAAGACCGATGCGACATGTGCGGAACAGCGCAGGTACGATCACCATTACACCCGGAAAACACCAAAGTGTGCATGCCCGGACCTCAGCTCTGCAATTGCCGTTCCTTGTGCAGATGAGGGAAGAGCCTTGCCGAAGCAAGCCAAGCTGCCGCCAGCAATCCGCCGGCTCTGTGAACACATTTGTAACTTGTATGATTCCGACAACAGACACCAGAGTCAAAGGAAAACATCAGCTCAGCACCATCACATGCGCCCGAGCCAAGTGCACTGTCAGCCGCAGAACGATCCATTGCCGGTAGGTTGCGCAGCCACGACCGCCACCGAGGCTTGCGTATCCAGCCATGTTGGTGCCAGCGCAGCTGACCGCAGGCTGTGCCGTGATGACAGAAAACATGTTGAACCAGGCCGCGACAATCTCGTGGCAGCTCGAGACGAGCCCCGCTGCCGCGATTCGGCACCGGCTACGTCGCACGCCCTTTATGTCGGCGACCATGCCCAGTGTCCCACTACGAGAGTATTTGCAACATCTGTACCAGCAACTCATCACGCGAGACCATGACAGAGCGGCACCCTTACCCTGCAGCGTTCTGGTCACTGCAACCGCACTTCTGCAGCGTCTGCAGAAGGCTGCCCCAGAAGTGTTCCATCCTTTGAGCCTACACCGCCTCTGGGCCACAGCGTTCACACTGGGCTACGTGTGGCTGGCAGATGTGACAATTCGATGGCCCACGATGGCAGCTCTGACAGGCCTCTCAAGCGGACTGGAACTGGAACGAGCAGCTGCAGTTTTTCTGAAACTACTAGACTGGCGCTGCTTCGTCTCACAAGAAACCTACCAGCAGACGTGTCTGAGCATCGCTCAGTCAGCATTCCCGCGAGCCAGATGAATGCCCCGCGAGCCTCGCCACCGACCGCGACGGCGGGACAGCGGATCCAGAAACAAGAATCAAACACCTGCAAGTCCCCCGCCCCACCAGCAACAAGCCCTCAAACATAGAGTGGTCCTCCCCACCCTCCCCTTGAAGACCAGCTGAACTCTCTCTCTCCTTCTGCATAACCTTTCCTCTCACCCGCCATCTGTCCCTCACCATTGCCAGGCAATCGAGATGCTCGAGATTTGCTTCGCGACTGCGTGGGCCGCTGCCTTGGCAAGGTTCAGTTTAAACGATAGCAGTACGGTCCGGACTCACGTGGCCGCATGCAGGCCTGCCGCAGGACCTGCCAACCGCAAGGGTGAAGCCAAGCAACCTAGGCAACGACGACGCTCATGCTCGCGATGAGAAAAAGGAGTTCGAGATGAACGAGCACCCAATCCAAACACGCTCCAGCAATGTGTATCAGCACATACAAACCCCCTCACAGCTGTGATGAAAGTTGAGCTCGAGCCACCCCCGGAGGACAGTCTTGAAAGGAGACATGAAGCCACATATGCTGTAGCTGCATCATAATTCTAACCTGTAGCAACCGCCGAAAGCAGCCCCTCAAACAGTTCGCCACTATGCAAGCAACATGTCAGGAGCCAGCAACCAACAACAAACAGTACAAGAAGAAGGGCGAGACCACCCGAAAACGAATGCCAAGCCCCCACACCCCCGCTTCGACGCAATCTTGCCATGAAGCAGCAGCGCCCTCAGATTCCAGAAACAAACAGAACCAAACAAAATCAAAGCCCGAAAGAAACATGCCCAGCAGGAAGATCGACCTCATCCTCACCACACTGAATGGACGCATCCTCGAAACCAGCGTGCACAAGTACATCAGCCTCGCTTACTTCACCCAGAAGGCCAAAGCTGTAACCCCGAGTCGACCTAAGTCCAACACCAACCCTGCAGGCGGCCAGACTCATGGGCTTTCGACATTGCACCTTGGTCCGCAAAAGAAAGCAGCTCAAATCCCTCAGGCACCTGAAGGCCCGGCATCTCCTCGCATTCACGAAGTTCGAGCATAGAAATCGATAGAGCGGCGAGCGCAGGACGGCAGCGTGCTGAATGTGATCCAGATCAGACACGCCAAGATCCACACTTGATCGTCGCAGACCCAACAATTCAAAGGTCAGACAAGACTGCAAGTCCTCGCCGACCAAGGAACCGAGAACGACAGCGACCTAGTCGTGAGCAGCAAGCCGGGCCCAAGCAACCGCAGCACATGCCCCCGCACCCCCCAGAATCCAAGCCAACATCAGAACAGAACACGCAAGCAAATCATCCCAAGGCATGCCAAGTTCCAGAGCAACAGAGCAACGCAAAAACCGTCCAGAGAACATCAGGACTTTTCATGCACACACACACATACACACACACACACACACACACACGCACACCCAATCTTAACACATCTCCGAGCACCACCACGAGTCCACATAGACCAATCTCTGTCACGCGAAAAGAAGAAAGAAAGGACCGCGAGCTGAGTCATGCTCCACGCAGGCGGCAGGCGAGCCAAGACAAACTCCGCAACGAAGTGCAGTCAGCCGCGCAATCCATGAGTCGCGTCACAAGTGTCCCTGCCCACCACGATTGGCTCCAGAGCGCCCGCAGCAGTTTCAGCGCAGCGCAGGAGGAGTCCAATCGACCCGGTTGGGCTTGGCAGCAGAAGGCATAAACGAGAAACCACATAAATGCAGATACATGCATGTACACCGACGCAGGCCCATGACCAAGAGCTTCAGCGACATCATGACAGCCAACAAACGACGTGTCAAGCAGGACCAGGCCACGCCACACCTCACGGCTGCACCATGCCACAGAGCCAGGTCCAGAACAAGCTGGCCAAGCACGCGAACGGACAAGAGCGATTACACGCCGCGCTCCAGGCACGGACGGCGGCTTGAAGACATGTTAGCACAACCACATGCTAGCACGCAACCGTCCGAGATGATGATCGCCGAAGCCAAGAAGATCACCAGCGCGGTGGACAACGCCAGCATCGTAATGCTCGTGTCACAGCCTCAGTACCGCAACACTGCTCCGCAAAACCCACTCAGACTTTTTACCCATGCACACAAAGAGTCGTGAATGCCAGAAGATGCTGCTGCCGAGCAGTCGAACTTCCCACTTCAGGCTCTTGCAGGATTCCATCGTCGCGACCGCCAACTCACTAAGTCCTGCTGAAGCGGTCGAAGAAGCAGCACACGTCGACGCCGAGAGCCACCAAGCAAGTCTCGAGGCTGCGGAAGGATAAGTGAGTTCACGTACAGCCAACCTCAATAGCCGCTATTTTGCTCTCTTTGTTGTTTGCAGCAGGACCCCGACGACTGGCAATCCAGATGGTGAAGGCCACCCAGCTGCACATTGATCTTAGCAAGCTCCTCCCTCCCCCCCACCCCCCCCTACAGAAAATCTACCGGTGCCCAGCGAAGCACCAACAGCACTCAGACTTCAAAGAAGCACCTGTTGCACGACAGGCAGCCGCACAACGATGCAGATCCCCATCAGGCACGCCACCGAACATGACAAAAGCCATTACTCGCAGCACATGCCAATGCAAATCCCGCCACGGCCAGGTAACGAATGGCGACCTTTGACAGAAGAACCGCAGTGCACAGAGCGAAAAGTGCCGCGCTCTGCAGCTCGACGAGAATCGCGTCAAGGGAAAGCAATCTCACGAGCTGCGTTCTGCACGGCTCCATATACTCCACACAGCGACATCGACCAGCATAGCACTGCCACTTACAAAGCTCAAGCTCCAGAGGAAAAGCACAAAATCTGTCAGAGTTTCGGTATGCGCTGACATAGCAACACACGAGAAAAAGCACCGATTTGCTTCCGAGAGATGACAGCCCGTGCCCCTGCAATGAACCACGCAGGACCAGACCGGGCACAGATGTGACGCCCCCATGGAAGCCGGTCACTCTGCAAAGCGGAACACCTGGGTACGGAACAGTGTTGGAGCCTCGAATCGCAGAGGCGAGGCGAACAGGGTCGCCTCCAAATCCAACACCAAGCCGTTTAAGCCCTGAGCGTCAGGCCACCGCGCAAGACAACTCTGCAGACGCACCCCACTGTTATTAACACCGACCCAGCAAATGCCGAGACGCGAAGCACCGCGACCCAGCCAACCAAGCAGCGAACCCACCAAACGAGCAACCAATTCAGCCCAGCCAACCGACCAAGGCAAGCAGCCAGTCAAGTCGCCAAACGAGCCACCCACCTACCAGCCAACCAACCACCCAGCCAAGCAACCGACGAAGCAACGCACCAGCCAACCACCCAAACAGACACGCCACCAACCGACCACGCAGGCCCACCCAACCAACCAGCCAGCCCACAAACCAACCGAACCAACCCAGGCAACCAACCAATCAACCATCCAGCCAACAAATCCATCAACCAGCCAGCCAACCAACCACAAACGGCCAACCAAGCAAGCGACAGACCAACCAACGAGCTAACCAATGAACCAACCAAGTAGTCAGCCAGCCAACGATCTGACAACGCCAGCAAACAAGCGACCAACCAAGCAAACAAGCAGCAAGCCCGCTCCAAAGCATGAAACGCCAGCTACACCGGTTTCGGCCACAGCTGATCCCACGTCGTACAACCCCAACCGTCAGGCCAGCAACACGTCCCGGGGCCTCGCGCTGAGCCGCCCGCGATTACCCAAAACTTCCCCAGCAACACAATCCACGGCAACACAAGCAAAGCCAAGCGCGCAAAAACTGGACGAGCCACAACTGCGACCATGATCCAATCCCCCCCCCCCCCCGTCTCCCTCCTCCTCCACGAACCTTGCAATCGGATTCACGCACAACAACAGTCCAGAACTCAACAACACGCAGCGATGCAACCAGCGAAAGCGTCAAAGTGAACGACACGAACCCTCAAATCCGCACATGACAGAAACCCACCGGAACTGACCGACCCAACAGCACGTCGCCAATCCAATAACCAACCCACCATTCTACACCCACCGACACACACGCAAACTCAAACACAAACACCCACACACACACAAGCACACACGCACGCACACGAACACACACACACACACACACCCACACACACACACACGCACGCACACGAGCACACACGACACACACAGACACGCACACACACACAGACACACACACACACACACACACCCACACACGCACACACCGACACACACACACACAGACACACGAAAGCACGAACACACAGACACAGGAAGGCAGCCGCAGCAAGTCCATCCCGCAACCCACACACCCGCCAACGAAACGGTTGTTCGACCAAAGTACCCGAGAAGCCAAGCAGTAACAGATCGACACAGACCAAGCAAACGAGCAAGTAACCAACCGAAGCACGAAACAACCGAACAACCCCAAGATGCACTCACACGCCAAGCAACCAGCCAACTAACCAACCAACCAACCAACCACCCAGCCCATGCATGGAGTCAGCCACAATACAAGTAAGCAAACAAGCAGAAACAAAACACACACAGGTGAGCAAACAAACTCAAAAAAGGTAACCAGGAATCGAGCCGACGCGAAGACCAACACAACAAACAACACACCCTGCAGCCAAGCAGCCAACCAACGACATACGGCAACGACGCAATCTAACAAGCATTCATCTGCATGCTACACCCAACACATCATAGCACGCTCCCACAACACAAAAACTGGGAACAGCAGCAGACAGACAACCCAGATCACACCACCTTCGCGCCGCGCCTTCTAGAGTAGATCTTCGCAACCGAAAACCCTACTAAAACAATCGACCACCCAACCGACGGACCCCACAAAGCAGCTAAAGATCCAACACACCCACCGACCCAGCCGCCGAGCACGGATGCACGAACTCACCAACCCCCAACTCACCAAGCCACCAAGCAACCAGGCCACCAACCCACCAACCCGAGAGCCACCGCCATTCAACCAAACAACCAAACAAGTAAACAATCAAGC